TTTTTTACTAACAATAAACATTTTCATAAATGCATGTCATTAATTTTCCTAGCAGACCACCTGGCTGGCGTGCAAATTGTCATAAATTCTGAATTTCAAGGAGGCTAGACTAATAGCTATTAATGTTTCCTGTGGGCATTTTCCCCCATGGGTCTTGGTTTGGTGTCTTTTCATCTGAGTATACAGAAGGTTCTCAATCAATGTGTACTGGACAGAAGTGCATCAGTGGCAATCTGCAGTTTTAACCGGGTGTCCTGAGCAGAGGAAAGGGCAGGGCATTGCGGACATCGAGTTTGTGTGTCTATTTCACCCTCTAGCGTAGTTTCCTCTCTGCAACTTTAAGAAGGAAATTCAAGGTTTTCCCACAACAGTTTTTCAGAGTGTGAACCCAAACTGCTTGGGGTCAAATCCCAGCTCTGCGTAACCTTGGGCAAGTTACTTGACTTTTCTCTGCTTCAGTTTCCTTACCTCTAAAACGGGATTCATAATAATAGTATCCCTGGCCGGGCATGGTGGCTCACACCTGTAATCCCAGCACTTTGGGAGGCCAAGGTGGGTAGATCACCTGAGGTCGAGAATTCAAGACCAGCCTGGCCAACATGGTGAAACCCTATCTCTACTAAAAATACAAAAATTAGCCAGGCATGATGGCACGTACCTGTAATCCCAGCTACTCGGGAGGCTGAGGCAGGAGAATCGCTTGAACCCAGGAAGTGGAGGTTGCAGTGAGCCGACATTGTGCCATTGTACTCCAGCCTGGGTGACAGAGCAAGACATATCTTCAAACAATAATAACAATAATAATAATAACAACAGTGTCCCCTTTTCATGGGTTAGGTGAGCGCCTGTGTGTGAATCATCTGGCCGTGCCTGGCAAGTGGCAAGCACTTGGTGAATATTTATTAGCTGCCTGTGATATTAGCTACCTGTGGTTGTGCCAGGGAGCCCCGAGGGCTTGACCAGAAGAGTAGTAGAAGGAAGATGGTACCAACTCCCATTTCCTAAAAGAACAAAACGTGAATAAAAGCGCTGGTTTCCTCCCACAGCCACGCTTGGCAGCTTCCCAGGGTTAAATGGGTTAAATGTGAAGACATGCTCAGGACAAAATGGATGAGTTTCTTAGCAAGACTGGCCGCATCAGTGGATGTCGTTGTTTATAAATTGCTATTTATTTAGCCTCTTTTTTTTTTTTTTTCTTTTTTTGAAATGAAGTCTTGATCTGTCACCCAGGCTGGAGTACAGTGGCGTGATCTCGGCTCATTGCAACCTTCGCCTCCCAGGTTCAAGCAGTTCTCCTGCCTGCGATCCAAGTAGCTGGGATTACAGGTGCCTGCCACCGTGCCCGGTTAATTTTTGTATTTTTAGTAGAGACGGTGTTTTGCCGTGTTGCCCAGGCTGGTGTCGAACTCCTGGCCTCAAGTGATCCACACACCTCAGCCTCCCAAAGCGCTGTGATTACAGGCGTGAGCCACCTCGACTGGCCAATTGAGCGTCTTCTATGTTCCAGCCATAGACCTGTCTGGAGCCACTAGGCACTTTACAGTGGCTGCTGTATTTGGCCCACACAGCAACCCTGCAAGAAAGCTTTTATTCCCATTTTACAGATGAGGGAACTGAGGCTCAGAGAAGCAAAGTTACCTGTCCAAGTCCGCACAGCTCGAAACTGGCTAACTGAGCATGCTTCTTCCAGGACTTTGCACTGTTTCCATGGTAGTTAATAGCTCTGCCAGTTCCATGTGGACAGGAAGGAGAAAATCCTATGCGCACACGTGCTGGAGGCCTCCTCTGTCGGCTTCCCTGGCGGGGGTCTTACCAAGAAGGATCTCCCTCAAGCCCATGGGCTTTGGTCTGTCCATCCTGCCTTCCCTTTCCCAAGAGACCGGACAGGCCACAGGTGGAAGCCAGACAATCCAGACTGCCCATGAGACCTGTAGGACTCCAGTATCAGTGAGCTGTCTCAGCACGCTTCTCTCTGCAGAACCACAGCGCTCCTCTTGACTGCAGGGCTCTGGGCCTCTCAGAATCACCACTGGGGCCAGGCACAGTAGCCAGGTTCACACCAGTAATTCCAGTGCTTTGAGAGGCTGAGGCAGGTGAATCACTTCAGCCCAGGAGTTGCCAGCTTGGACAACATGACAAAACCCGGCCCTATAAAACAGATATAAATTAGCTAGGCATGGTGTGTGCACCTGTAGTCCCAGCTACTCGGATGGCTGAGGTGGGGGGGATCACTTGAGCCCAGGGAGGTCGAGGCTGCAGTGAACCGTGATCATGTCACTGCACGCCAGCCTGGGCAACAAAGTGAGACTCAAGACTCAAAAGTAAAAATAAAAAAAAGAATCACCATCATGATGACAAAGGAATTATAGGGCAGGGGGTGAGATCCATGTGTCCTCTGAGGCCAAGACCATGCTGGGAGTCCAGGGGCCCCCTGTTGCTCAGGAATGACATCAAACCTGGGTGATTCATCACCTTAATCTTCCTGGTGCCACAGTGGATCACAAGCTCTTTGTGGGATTGGGT